TGTTATTTTCTGAATACAACTTGAGCTAGCAGTATTATGCATAGATATTCTATGCATAAATTGTAGACGAAAATCATATTGCCTCCATATCATAACTAAAGGGTGGATTCATTTAGTGCAAAACACATAGTCAAGGGGTTGGTATTAACAATCAGTGCAACAGAGCTCCAAAAATTCATTTTAAATGCACATAGTGAAAGCTATTTATGGAGTGGCTGAGCAAATTTTGAATGCAGGGCAAGATTGTATATTGTCACTTTAATGGAAGTTATTTGCTTCTTGATATTATAGCAATCTGAGTATTTTCCTTATTGTGCTTACATTTTTTTTTCTTCAAATGACAGATATTCTCTTGCATCTTTATAAAGATTGGGCAGACTATTTTAAGTGGTGATCATTTTTATTTGTATGCCTACATCTACCAATATATTCCTAAATTCTCCAACTCATGAATCATCCATATCAAACTTACAATGTTTTGTATATTTGTGATTTTAAAAGTGTCTTTCTTCATTGAAGTCTGAGATACCTCATTTTACAAAAGCAGTGCAGTTATACGATATGTAACAAAAGAACCTTTTTTTTTTTAAGTGATAAAGACTTAGATACACTTCAAGGAGCCACATAAGTTGTCATTTAAATAAACAGGAATGCCAGTAGTTGCCATTTCACAGAATCGAGGCAATTCTATTGGAAAGAGCTTCCCTTAGGAGTTTGTAGCATTCCTAGTTTCACACTATGGAATCTACTTTCTGTGTATATTTAAACCAAACACATGTAAGAATCTGCAGGTGTCCCTTATTTCTTAGTTAATCTCTTTACACCCTGAAGTATATCCTGAAGCCCGTTTGTCATATTAGCATTGCATTTCCAATTAAGATGTTTATTAAAAAAAAAATTAAAAATATATTCTAATGGCCAGATAAATTCCCTCCAAGATAAAAACTGTTTACCAGGAAAAAACATACTTCACTTTTGTTAAGACATGTAATACATTCAATACAATTAAGAAACACCATTTCAGTTTAGGGTATAGAAACACCCACATTGCCTGTAAAATGGAGCTGTTGAACTGGACAAAAATGCATGTACCTAGCAAGGACTGTTTCTAATAGAGAAAACTCATCCTTTCAAATCAACAGACACTTCTGCAGGCTTTCATTCTAGACTATAGCTTTTCCCATATGCTCTCAACTGTAACCAATAAATCTAAGCACATATTTACTCTGCATGCTCTACCACACTGGTTTTAGGAGAATACAGGAGTTCTAACAAGTGTATGAATAGGCAATAAACCAGGACCCTTTTGAAAACAAACCACTCTTCTTAAAAATTACTACATGCTGTCAAGATAGATGAAGAAATAAAGAATCAATATAAAGTATTAATCGCTTCAGAATTACAATTATACATATTTCTTTAAGCACATGCCTAGAACTAGTAAATTATTGCATTTGAAGTCAAACTGCAGATTAAACTTGGAGCATGCAGAGGGAGGCAGACAAAGAGAGGGAGAAAGATGAATCTATATCAGGGGGAGGGAAGGGACATTTTGATTTGACACATTAGAATCTTTATGTTACTGTTCTGCCAGTAAAGAGCCTCTCTGGAGGTGTATGAAAGATTTTGCACTTAAAACTAAACTGGAAAAATAATCTTCTTTGCTGTGTAGATTAATGTTAGGAAATTTTCCTTTGCTTGTCTCAGGCAGTTCTGATTCTCTCTGCATACATTTAAAACTGCTTTTGATTTTTCTTAGCTTCCCTAATTTTGGGTTCCTGAATGTGCTGGTCACTCCGTGAGGGAGGAAAACAGGCACAGGTTTGTAGCTCGTTTTTTATCTCTAATTGAAGCATCTTCCACATTTGTCACAACCTCCAGATAGAAGGAACAGGGAGGAAAAGGGGACTTTGTGTCAAGCGGGCACATGAAAATGAAATAAATCAAGGATCCAAAGACACATCTGAGAGCAAACTATTTAAGACTTGGTTTCTCGTGGCTGCATTTCACCTTCTTCTCCTAAATTATATAACTTCTTATCATTATCATGAGGACATTTTAATTATACATCATACCAAGTCTTGGGTCCTTCCCTGTCATAATTTGCACTTTCATAGTCCCATGTTTAAACATCCTGCTTTCACTGTGCACTGGTTTCTGCCTTACAGTATGTTTTGATTATCCTTTGGTAATATTTATGTTGCTTCAGCAATCAAATTTAAAATCAATCTTCCTTCCACTCCCCACTTGCTGTTTCCCAATTGTGGTTGCATTGGTGATGGCAAGTGCTGAATGTCCTTCAGTTAGTGAAAAAGGAAAAAAATTAAACATTCTCTTGACTCTCTGAACTCGTTTGACTTTGCCCCACACTCTTCTACAATTTAAACATATGAATCTGAGGAGCCAGAGAAGAAGCTGAAGAAAATGTAGATGGCAGAAAGTATTTTTAGATCAAGAAACAACAGTCTGTTTGCAGAACTAGTAGCCACAGTTAGGAATGTAAAACCCAACCACTAGCAGATTTACTAGTTTAAAAACAAGTGCAAGCCAACACAATGTTAAATCCCTTTCATCCCTTTGCTTCCCTTTTCCTAAAATTAGTCATTATACTTCTGTACGAGCATTTGTTTCTTGTTTTTGTAAAATGCAAGTCAGTCTTTAAATTCCCAGCCTTAATGACTTGCAGCAGCAGCGAGTTATACAGTCTACCTAAAATACTCTGAATAGATATTTCCACTTACCCATTTATAATATACCATCTCTCATTTTCCTTGCATTTGCATTCTTCCTCCCTGAAGCAGTAGAAAAATTATTTAATATTGTTTGAAGTATAGGAAGAATCTAATTTTTGTTTTCCCAGGTGAATACTGTGAACACTTTCTGTGCTTCAGATGTATTGTACCTGATGACAGCTTCTGTGAGCTGTGTCTGGTCTTCCTGAAGTTCCTCACTGTCCACTCTGGACTTCCATAACCTAAATAACTTCTGCAACCTGTTAACTTTGCTACTTGAAAGCAGAAAACCTTGGTCTCAGGTGTGATTTTGAGGCACTGTTTTCCCCCAGCAAAAACTGACAATTTAATTCTAGTCTTTCTTTTCTGTCTCTTAGAGAGTTTTGATCCACAGCAATACTTTAGTTCACAAATACTTGTTTTCCTTACTAATTTCCTGTTCAGGACCTTGTCAGAGGTCTGACTGAATAAACTGCCTGCTGTCTATTGCTTTGGAGACACTGAATTTTAGCATGTCAGAGAGACTCTTCAGAAAACTCAGCAGGACAGGCTTTATCACATCCTGGTCTTTCAGGTGTTTACTGTTTTACTTTTCTGATATAGATGTAATGTTTATTCATCTGTAACTTTCTGGATCACTTATGAAGCCTTTTTAATTAGAGATATAAAATTTGCCACCCGCTAAGCTACTGATATAGTAGGCATTTTTAATTAAAGCCTGTGCACTTTGTTAGCTGCTCTGCCCTGTCAAGATTTAGAATTCTGTGATGTCTATCCTTCAGGACTGTTGACTTGAAACTTTTGAATTATCAGTTTCTCTCAGCATCTTTCCTTATGGTAGCTCGATCATCACAGCTCATCATCCTCATTGTCAGGCAAAGCAAGCTGTGAAATCCACTCATTCTCTGCAGCAGAGGCTGGTACAAAGAAACACCTCTGGAAGGCATCTGCATCCTCTTCATTTACTCTCTATCAACAAGGACCCATGCTCAACCCAACCAGCAGCTGTGAATTTGAAGTTTCACACATGTCCATGCACTGAAATCAGCCCTAGAATGTCCATTCACCTCTAGTGATGCCCACACAAAATGTAGGTTGGTGAGCACATTCTCCTCTTAACCTCTTGGGTCTGAAAATTTGTAACCTCAAAGTAAGGGCTTCTCCCATGGTTTTCCTTGTTCCTCCCAACTGAAATACAAAATTAACTGTGATGCATGAATTTCCACAATCTCTGATGCATTCTTTGAGGAAAACTATACCTATTTAGCCATACTCTGATTGCACTCATATGTTCTGTTGTAGACAAAATAGAAAAATGCAGCATAAATATAAAGTTTGTTTTAAATATGTATCAGAGGAAGAGAATTGGTAATTCTATGCATGACAAAAAATGTTACTCTTTACTGAATTAAAATTCTGCCACCCATAAAATAATAATTTTTTTTTTTGTGTGAGAAAGACAGAATTTTCTAGTTACATTAATGTAACTTAATAACTTGCCTAAGGGGCACAGAGCTGTCAAAAGATTTAAAAAAAAATCCCACTCCAGAGTTTTAACTTTCAGATCCCAAATACAGAATCTCTTTGCTAATTTCATAACCAAGAATTCCCATTAAATTTCTCCCAGAAGTCACGAAGAATTGGTCTGCTCTTAATATTTACAGCAAAGTAAAAGGCCTCTTAGTACATTGTCTAATAATGTGTAGCAGAAACTCTTGATGGAATGTCACCATCTGTGTCTGTGCCTAAAATGGAGCTTACTTTTGAAGATATTATTTAAATTATTCTTTACCAATTAAAGTACCAGAGTGCCAAAGTGATGACAAGATTTTTCCTGTCTATTCCTTTAAATTATGAGTCTTTTTTCATCTTTTCCCCATCCTCTAGAAGTTCATGGGAAGTAAATTTTCAATGTAGTGACATTAATGGGACTCATGCAGTTAAATCCCTATGCATCGCTTTGAAAATTTACTTGCTAGTGTACTAATAAAAATTTAGGTCCTTGAATATTTATGATCCTCTATGGGATATCATAAATGTAGCTCTTATTTAAATAAATAGGTGGAAAATCTGCCATGTGTGCAGAGTTTACTGGCATTCATATAATTGCAATCAAACTGCATTGTCCAAGAGTGTCAGATTAATTTCCATTGTTCCATTTGCTGTTTGACCCTACCCCCCTTGATAATTGTAGATTTTCATCTGGATTCCATTTCCAGAATTTAATCTCCCACTAAGAAGGACATTGAGATAAAGACCAAGAGCACGGGGAAGGAAAGCATTTTAATTGGAAAAGTATAATTGAGGTGCTGAAAGCTGCTTGTTTCCTGGGAGCTGCACAACTGATGTCTTCTTGGGGTGGCCTTGGAAATTTCCATCAGCTCCTGGTTGGCAAGGGATCTCCTGAAGGTGGGAAGGGAGGGACAGGGATGAGTGGTGCAAGATTGTAGTGGGAGATTGATTTAATCCTGAAATTTGGCACAGGCTGCTACAAAGCTGTGATTACTTCTGGGTCTACTCAATGCCCATAGCTCTAGATGGGCCCTAATAAATATCCAGAAACAGCTTCTGCAGCTGGATTGCTGTAGTGTCTTCCTGATGCTGGGTGTTAATCACACACTATAAGAAAACATTCAGATTCACTCTGACATGATTTATCTACATGATTTAGCCCCTTATACACACCACATCTTTGCAAGCCTGGTTCTCTTGCCTTGAGGTACTTTTCTGGTGGGACAGGAGCACTGCCCCATCATACATGAGAGAGGATGGTGCCCAAGGGGATAATATCCAGAACCAAAGCACTCCTTCACAGGAAATTGTGATTCTGTGCCTCAGGTGCCTGCTATATCTTCTGTTCAATACTCCAAGCACAGTGAGAGTCTTATTAGCTAAATCATCTCCTGTTGCCCTAGAAATCACAAGTCAGGATATCTCTACATCCATGTCATCATGTAAGCTCTTACAAGGTGCCATGTCTTCCTGTTGACCTAATTAGTAATTTATTGCTTTTTTGTCTGCAACACTTCTAGAACAATATAGTCCTTGGAGAATGAAATGTTTTTGTAAATGTTACCAGCTGAATAGTGGCACCAAAATAGAACAGTGACAGAGCACTTGTTCATCTAAGGATTCAGCGGAGGAGGAACCACGAGCTGAGCTATGGCAGCCTGACAGCTTGAATTGTCATACCAGCAGAGCTTAAGTCTTCATCATTTTTATCCTTTGAGAACATAATTAGATCTACCTATTAAAATGATATCTAACAAAATCAAAATTTTCATACTAATTAGAATGAAGAAATAGTGTATGACTAAGGAACATTGATTTCTGTCTTGTTACTCAATTACTTATCCACCCAGAAAACTGTCATTTTAACAATGCTTAAATGCATTTCTACTGATATAGATGGGACCTCACAGGGACAAGAGTAAGTTTAATAAAGGGAAGAGGACAAGAGTGAGAAACAGACTCTGGGGAGCACAGCTGGAAAATTCTCTCTTAAAATATTAAGCTAACAGCTACCTTTTTCTTTTTTTTTTTTTTTTTTTTTCCAATTACCAAAGTGTTGTATCTTTTCTAAAAAGAGCCTCAAATCAAAACCACAACCCATGGTGTTCATCCAATTTATACAACTCTATTATAGACTTGTTCTTTTAAAGACTAGATTTCTCCCTCAAGATATGCAGGTATGTATGAATATTTGATTCATCCAAATTTTAGGGTGTTTCTTTTGTAGAAACATATAATAATTTAGATATCTTTTACTGCTTCAAGATTGTTGAAGTTTGTACTTTGAAAATATAATAGTTCTTGTAATAATTTTCTGTTATTCCTTTAGGGAGCTGAAAATCAACTAATCTAACTTCATTCTTACCTTTAAAGGTTCAACCTGTATCTCTGATGTGTCAGCTGAAATGGAGCAAGTGTTTTGTGCATGTGTGCATGTGAAGGGGAAAAAAAAAGATAAACAAAAAGGAAAAACTCTAGGATACGTTGTAGTTCCTCTTTCCTTATCATGAAGCAAAAATGGCAAAAATAGGAGCATTGTTGCTATGCATCTCATGGTCCTTGCTCATGTCCCCATGGTAACTAGCAGAAGTAATTTGCATTCTGCAGAAGCATCAGGGAGATGCATGTGTGCAGCAGTTCAGAGGGATGCATGGTCCAAAGGACATGGTAAATATGGCCAGCTTTGCAAAAAACCTAAAAGGCCACCCACAGGAGGCTAACAGAAGTCCTATTAATATGTAAACTTGCCAAAACAAATTTTCATTTTAAGCATAGTTTGAATATTCAGTAAGGGGAAAAGCTCTGAAAGTTTGTGGTGGTCTAACATACAGTTCATGATGCAGGCTCTCAATTGTTACCAGGAAGTAAAACTCTTCTGAAAGGGGAGATGCAGATTTGCTTCAACTTTACATTTGGTCCTCATTTTACTGCATTAAAAAGTTTAATTAATGTTTTCTTTCATTGTTACATGCTTGTTTTCCTCCTCCCAAAAATTTCCTTCTCTCTGTTATGGCTTTTCAAGATTTATTAATATTTTTTCTATATGTGTATAATTATATTTTATTATAAATATGTTATGTATTTAAAATATGTAAGGAATAATTATATTTATAGAATGATAATTATATCTCAGGATATACTATAAACATTATATATTTATTAATCTATTTCTTTAGAAAATGGCTCTTTTCATAGTTAATGTCACTGATAACTTTAATCTGTATGTGTGTCGGGTTTGCACTATAGAGTTTTCATAGCAGAAGTGCTGCTGAAGTGGATTCTCTAAGAAGTTGCCAGAAGTTTTCCCTGTGTCCAACAAAGCCAGTGCCAGCCAGCTCCAAGCCAGAGCTGATGCTGGCCAAGCCCATCAGCGATGGTGGGAGCAACTCTGGGGTATGTATTTCAAAAGGGTGAAAAAAGCCCTGCTCAGCTGCGGCAGGAGAGAGGAAAATATGTGAGAGCAAGAGCCCTGAAGAGCCCCAGGCCAGTGCAGAAGGAGGAGCAGGAGCTGAGATTGCCCTGCAGCCCTTGGTGCAGACCATGGCGAGGCAGCCGTGCCCTGCAGCCATGGGGCAGCAGGGATCCCCCAGAGCCTGGAGGATGCTGTGAGCCCACGGGAAGTCCAGGCTGGAACAAGCTTGCTGGCAGGACTTGGGACCTGCAGGGGACCCACTCTGGAGGGATTTATTCTTGAAGAACAGCCCCTATGGGAGGGAGCCATGCTGGAAGAGTTTATGAGGAGCTGCAGCCCAAGGGAAGGAATGATGTTGGAGAGGTTGGTGGGGACTCTCTCCTGTGGGACAGCCCCACGCTGGAGCAGAGGAAGGGTGTGAGGAGTCCTCCCTCTGAGGAGTAAGGAGCAGCAGAGACCATGTGTGATTAATGACTGCAGCACCCATTTCCCCTTTGCTTGCACTGCTGAGGGGGAAGATAGAGAATTCAGGAGTGAAGTTGAGTCCAGGGAGAAGAGAATAGTGTGGAGATGTTTTTAAGGTTTTATTTTATTCTTATAAGCCCGCTATGATTTGATTGGTAATAAATTAAATTAAATTCCCTGAGTCTAACCTGTTTTGCCTGTGATGGTAACTGGAGAGTGATCGTTCCTTGTCCTTGTCTCAAAACCCTTCAGCTTTATTTTCTCTCCCCTGTCCAGCTGCAGAAAGGAGGGAGAGAGAAGTTTTAGTCAACTCACCACAATATGCAATGATATCTCCTAAGAGTCCTATTTAGTTGAATAAAATTCAGATATAGTTGAATAAAATAACATAAAATTTTCAGATGAAAAAAAAATCAGATTAAATGCAAGGGAATTAAAATAAAGTAACAAAAAAGTACTAAGAAGAAAATAGCAATTCTACGTGTTGAGGAATTCTGACCTACATTTCATGTGCTTTGCATGCAGTAGCTTAGATGAGTGCTGAGAAAAGGCTGAATGTTTTATATTTCTTCCATTTTTTAATCTGTTTTCTTCTCTCTTGACTATTCTTAGTGCTGAAATTCCAATTTCTTTTCTCTTCAAGGTCTTAAGGTCTAACTTCCTATTAGCCTTTAATGATGTTTCTCTCAGAAAATCCCACAAGAGTCTCTCCTAGTTTTTACAAGGCAGATTTGTGAATCCAGCATGCTGCAGAGTACTTCACTCAATTGCAGACTATCTGTTAACATTGAGTTATGGTTTTCAAGTAAGTGTTTATATGTCTGTATATATATATATGTATATCAATATATATGTCTCTTCTGTGTACTTGCACACACAGCCTCATACCCAGAGCTGGGATTTACTCTCTTTCTGCCTTGGAGTGACACTGTGAGGGTACAAGGCAATGTGAGGGTTTCTCTAGAGTGGGTAAGTGGCCTTTTGCCCCCAGCAAGCAGCCACAAGAATGGTGACTACCTGAAGATTCACCACAGGTAATCATGAGGATTATCATGACAGAAAACCTTCTCCATGAAGGAAGCAGAGATGAGATGGGAAAAAGCTGATGCTGCAATGCTTTAACACAAAGAGCTAACCTACACTCTCACAACCCACAAATACCTATATATTCGCCTCATAAAGCCTGGGGCCACATGCACCTAAGTCAAAAGATATCATTATATGACAAATACAGCAAACACAGCAGTTCTTCTCAATATAGTAATATTTGAACATCGGAAATATTCATATAATAGGGATTAAGAAAGAGAGGAATAATTTTTGTAGTCTTTCTCAGGATTAGCCATGCATTAGCACACTGAGTTACCCAAGTTCTGCAAAGCAAACTTATCATTCAGGCCCACTTGCCTGGCTTTAAGTTTGCTAGAAAAACCAAGTTCACTGAACTATACATTGAAACTTTGCATAACTGGGCTGTATTCTGAGCTGCTTCCTTGCAGAGTTTGGAACTTTGATTTTTAGCATTTGCCTATCCAGTTTCACACCTGAGTTCATACTCTGTGTGATCAAATCAACTTTGCTGATATATTTAGACTTTACCTGCATGAAGTTTTCTCTGCATGAACTGGAGTGAAGCACATTACTCTGTAGTTGTGCAGAATATTTGCACATCAATAACATCACAAAAAACAATGCATATGATTTATCACCCTGCATTTCCAATTTTGTATGCGTTGGTCTGAAGAAAGAAAATAATGCACTTTTTTTTGATGGATCAAACCCTATCATATTATTGTAAAAATAGTTTTAATTATTGTATAATGCTTTCAATAAAAACACTTATTTTTGCCACCTGTGGTTTATTGACAGCTCAGGCATTCTTGATATTTACTTGAGGTAGGCTAAAAACCACTGCAAGGGGAAAGAAATGGTCAGGGGCTAGAAGATAAGGGTTCCAGTGCTATACATGTCTGAGAGTGTGTCCTTGGACAAGAGAACATGTAGATAATGCAGAGATACCAAGAGATTTCATTACCTAATGTGTACACAGCACTTTGAACTAACGAAGCATTACAGTGCAAAGCACCACTTTCAGCCACGGCACTTCAAGGATGCACAAAGGATCAAATATCCTTTTCACTTACACATTGAAGAGGACATCTGGTTTTGTTTTGAAGTTCTAACATCGTTTTGGCTTTTCATGTCACTTCAAGGTTGCTTCTTACCTCTTATTGACTACTTACTTCAAATTCCTTTTTCTGTGTCCTCACCTTTGTTGTAAAAATTGATTCAAGGTTTGCACACAGCTGCTTAACTGGGTGCTTGGAGGAAGGAATAATTCATCCTTAATAGGAATGTTCCTTATTTCAATAATATTTTACACTGCAAGAATATCCTAGTCCAGTGTTCAGTTTCTATTATTAGGGTGGCATAGGGTTGGCTAGCATTATCTTGAGTCTACTATGTCATAGTACAGAAAAATTTAAAGGATTTGGATCTTAGGTAACTTACAGTGATATGTAGGCAGTTTTGTATGATTTACTGCTTACAATGAGAAAATCAATGTTTGCTTGAAAAGGAACCTGCAAATGTGACTTGTATTCCATTAGTTTTCAAAGTCTGTGTTTTAATAATTTGAATTTTTTCTTTTTGAAAGCAATTTGCAAAATTTATGAGAGGCAGAGGGTTTTTTATTTCCCAAATGATCCTCTGCTCTCATCAAAGATTGTGTTCTAGCAACTAATTTCTGCAAGATGAAAGGATAAAGTTTCACTGCATTGTACAGAAGACACGTAGTAAAATTTATTTCCTGCAATGATGAGATTTGATTTTGTTGTTTTTATTTCTTTCTATTTACTCAAGGTTTGCTATGGAAAGGCTAAAAATTTTAAACATTGTGGGACAGTTTTCTTTCCTGATAGTTCAGGGATGTTTGTAGAGTATTTTCAGGGATCCAAATCGTACTTCAACAAATTTCACCAGTAGCATAAGGTCAGTGAGATCATAAGCTTTTTTCCAAATTGGTCATGAACAATTTGACACAGTTATGAATAGTTTAAGGAGATTTTCAAATATTCAGCTTAATTATTCATTTCATCTCAGTTCCAAGCCTGAATTTTCAACAATTATTTTTCCATTTTCTGTCTTCCCTCCCCCTCACCTCCCCCCCCCCTATTTATCTGTACCTTTTAATGAGGAAAAATTACTTGCTACTACTACTATGCTATTGGTGTCCTGGCATCAAGAAATTATGAGGACAGGTGACACAACTTAGCACTAAAAAGAAGGAGATACAGACTCCCACAGCTGAAAAGACTGAGGAATCACAGGGCTCTGGAAGTACAGTGGTCTGGAACAAAATACAGGGACAGAAGATGCCAGGACAAATCTTCTGGATGTACAGGGGCTGAAGGGCTGCAATGAAACAAACAAAATCAGATATCTAAGACACAGAAAATCAGCAAAAGTATGAAAAAAAACCCAAAAGTTCTTTCATACCTTTTTAAGCAAGAAGTTGTGAACATAAGGAGCACCAAGAGACACACCACTGAACGTGGACAGATGAGAGGCAACTCAGCTGAAGTGTACCCCAGTGACTTGTCCTTTTCCTGTGCTGGCAGCAGGCACATTTTAACCACACCAGGTTCAGAGCTTCATTTAGGGAAAATGGCTGCTATAAGAAAGCCAGCCTGGTGTTAAAGAAGTTTGTTCTGTAAAGAAAAGGAAAACCCACTTTTGGCAACCAGTTTGGCCCATCGTGTAGGAACAACTATATACTTGTATATAGTTATATATACAAGTATATATATATATATACATATATATAAATATACATATATATAAATATATATATATATATATATATATATATATATATATATATATATACTTGTATTTGTCCTGACACAATGATGCATTTGATAACAGCATTTAAGAATGAAATCTCTGTCACTTTTTGCACAATGCATCCTTTCAGCTTCTAGGAAACATTTCTTACCTTTGCTGTGGCACATTAATTGTGTCAGTAGAAAGCAGTGCTGTGACTTTGGGAGCAACACAGCAGAATAGCTGTGGCTCCTGAGGGGAGAGGTGCTAAAGATGTATTTTAAAAGTGTCTCCTGAGATTGGAGTTGGACATTAAGAGACCATTTTTGCCACTGCGCTGTTGTGATAATTCCTAAAACAACAGCTGGTTCTACATGCCTAAATGTTATTTTTATTTTGGTAAGTTTAGTCTGCTCCAGCATTTTTTACTACAGAACATGGAGCTTACACTTGTCCCTTATGCTGTGCATGGCAGAACTGATTTGGCAGTGTAATAACTACAGACCATACTTGTTCCCATTTCATATGGGATCATGATACTTCATACACTTAAATATGCACAATAACCTGGAAGATTTGCTTTAGAGACACAAAAAGAAGCAGGAGGGAGAAAAAAGGAACTCGCCCATGTATCTCACCAAGTTTCTGGTGTGGTATGCTGGGAAAGGTCACTGGGCTAAGAAACTGCTTCAAAAATATTACTGTGCTAAGGTGTCTAACACTCTTGAACATCCAATTCAGTGAGACATGGCAGTATCAGATTTTTTGAAGATATGGTAAATATGAGCTTTGTAAATGTTTTTCATTTTGATGTTTGACTGAGCCTCAGCTTGGCTGGATGGGAAGACAGTGAAGTCCTTTCCCAAACAAAACAGCAGGAATTAAACTTTTGTCTGCCCAAAGATGTAGGTCTTCACAACCAGCATTTAAGTTTTATTAGTTAATAGATATAAAGGTTGAATACTTTTTTTTTTAATTTAAGAAAAAGAAAAACCTGTTTGTAGCATCTAAAGCTTCATGACTTTTCAAGCCTTGTACAGGAGATTAAGCCATGTACAGGAACATGGGAGTTATGGGAGTTTTCCCTTGCATAATCAGAGGCTTCTGGTCTCAGCTGCTGCACAGCTTTATTAGCACTGTTCAACACTTATTTCCATATCTAAAATTTTAGTTGCAGACATAGTCCCATGCAGTTTTATAATGAAGACCAGTAAGAGATTTCTTGAAGTTTTTAATTGAGTTCTGTCTGTAAAAAGATGTGTCACAGAGCCAGGATGTATTCCTACAATGCTCCATGCCTTCTCCACTATTCATCCTGTCTTTTTCCTTTTCTCCTTGGTTAGGGTACAACTTTGTAGATTATATGATAAGAAAACACACTGAGCAGTGGTTTGCATGTGTGGCATTACATGTTTTCATTAGATATAAAAAGTTGTATTCTTATAACTTATGGATGTTTTCAAAAGAAGGGATAGTTTTTCTTCTGCAGAAAAATGTTACTAAAATTAACACTTTCTGAGCCAGTTTACAATGGTTCTACCAGGAAAAATGCCTAAGTGGAGAAATCCAGTGACTGGCAATTTGTAAAATTTCCATCCATTCTTAACCATGTTAATTTCTTTTGGCATTTTTAATTAATTATTGTTGAAACCTTGGAAGAAAGTGTGGGGTAAAGTTGGGTTGCCACAGCAAAATTCACTCTTCCAGATCATACTTTTCCATTGGTAAATTAACTATATTTAGCATTTTACTGATCCTTGTATGATTTTCTTTAGTTCAAGCAATACAATAAACATATTTTTAATGAAAACCTTTTGGAATGCTTAATGACAGTTACTACAGAACTTTTCATTGCCATTATTCACATGGCTGACTGCTCTTGTAAAGGAGCAAATAAAAATTATCAATGTATGCTGGGAAATTGTGGTAAGCATCAGGGTCAAACACAATGCAAAGAGAAAGGTCTTATAAAAGAAGCAATTTTCATTTGAAGAAATTAGAATATCTTGAAAATGTAAGCACAATAGGCAGGAAAAAAGTAATTTCTAATAAATGCTAAAATAAATTAAAATATGATGTAGCTATTAGTAAGGCAAAATTAAACTAGCAAAATTAATTAAATACATAACAATATTCTCAATATTTCTGTGAATTAAGTAACATATTAAAATTTTGTTGATTATCTATTAGGTTGCAATATATTTGGCCATAGGTTTTCTTTCCTTAGAAAATAAACAAAATGTTTGAATTCCTAAGAAGTTTATAACAGCAAATTTAAAATTATAAAAAAATAGATTTACTTTGCTCCTTGGTTACCTTTCAAAACCTTTAAATTTATTCCACACATCCCCAGTGTTCCCTGTCAGTAGGCTAAAAACCAAGACATAATCTTTCTAAATTCAATTTTAGTCTGATATTTAGCCACCAGAGGCTCTTACTAGGACTGCATGAGTTATCTATTTGACAAATATATCATCCACCAAAAAAAAAGAACAAAAAAGAAAGAAAAATTAAGAAAGAAAAAAGCTTTCGGGCAACCAAAAAATGCTAACGGCAAAAAATTAACACAATGAATTTAAAGAACTAATGAATTTTTTTGGCCTACGTATTCAGCAAATTCTCATTAATAAATATATTGTTTCATGGATAGTCTGCTACTCTGCTATCCAAAAAAGGGAGATCTATAATGCATATTTTTAATAATGAAAAGCAAAGTCGCAGTGCTGCACAGCACTGTTCACTTTTGACAGCTCTCTTACAGCAAATTTAATTTTATCTGTTCTATCTCAGCATTCCTGCTGAGAATTCAGAATTCAGTGGGCTAATTCTGCCTTTTAAATTGGCAGTAGGTATGATTTTATCAAAAGTAAAAAGTGATTTACATATTTCTTCTGTTTTGGGCAACAAATAAAGTTTTGTGAGTGTCTTGAAACAAATCCCAGGGTCATCTTGCTTTTGGCTTAATATATATTAGACTAGGAAATATAACATCTACTGTTTCTTTCTTTTAGAAACATTAATTTTAATTTAATTAAATATTTGCCTTGGACGCAGAAGATCTGGCTGTAAGCAGTTCACGTGATGTTCAACCCTTTTTTTTTCTATGCAATTGCTTGACTTTGATGAAGATGCAATACAGGGAAGAATTGAGCTTTTTTTTTCTTCCAACTACAATTTAAATTAGTGTTTTCTTAATATATGGCATTTTATTATGTGGAGGATACATTGTACAAATTGACACAAGGAAGTTTTCTGAGTTGTGATGAAATGTGAAAAACTGTATGTTCTGTCTCCTGGGTTATTCTCCAAGCTGTTAACCAGAAACAGAACAGCAATGTACAGAAATAGCTATGTAGTACATAGCTACACTCTGTTCTGGAGCCTAAAATGAAAATTAATTCTATGTTCCTGTGCACAACTGTTTCCTTATGATTATTAATGCAGCTGTATCACTTGTGGGAATTTCTCCAAAGTGTTCATCTTGTTAACAATTCTTACCCATGTTAATCTGCAGATATCTACCAAACAGCAGTGAGCACCTGGCTTTAAATCTTATTTCTCTTTAATGTCTGCACTCTTTCAGAGACTCCTATAATGTGCTGGAATTTTAGGTTGCTTCAGTCTGTCTTTTGTTCCAAGGAGATGGCAAACTCTCTTCTCTAGAGTGTGGACAAAGACCTGGTCTGTTGGTGTTAGTACATGTCTGTTAATGTCCAAACGAGGACCTGCTTGCTCCTGGCCAGTGCAAGGGGCAGGATAAGGGAATGAGGGACACTTTCTGTCTGAAGCAATGAGGAGGTTTCTCACATGGCAGTGCTGTGGGGCTTGTGGCCTGAACCCCTCTGGGCTCATCCCTTCTCAGGACAGCCCCAGCTGAGCTCCCAAAACTGGAGGTGCCTCTCACCTTCCAACAGCTGGTACTGGCCCAAAAAATTAAACGTATCCACAAGAGGGGTCACTTCTAGATACAATAATAACATTTTATCCTACACTTCCAACCCTGTTTTAAAGTTTTTTCCTCTATATTAAGCATATGGGTTCCTTCCCCAGGAATCAGGTACAACCCAGAGTAAGTAAGAGCTGTGAATGCTGCATGTTGCCAGACAATAAATTATATATTTGGCATCACTGAAAGAAAGACGTAGGACAACTAGACCTGACGTAGCAAATCCCCACACAGGTTTAGCCACACTTTACAGCTGTAACTTTGTGTATTTTCTGCAGAGGCACTGATCCAGCAGCTCCTCCAGACAGCACAAAATTAATGCAGACAGAAAAGATCTGCTAGGAAAGACATCATGGCTGGGAGAGAAGAAACCCTTCAGAAACACTGGGAAGAAAGGCTACACATTAATGTAGTACTATACAAATCATTGTAAAGCTGTGGAATCCCTCTAAACTGATTT